ATCCCGTGCTAAAGCAGCTAATGCCCAGGGACGGGGACACGGGGTTGGACCCCAAAAGGAGGTTGGCTCCATGCCCACCATCCGCATCCCTGGCATGGCTGTGCCACGAGGCTCGACCTTATGCTTGGAAAAGGCCATGAGCTCCCGCCGCTGCCGCCGGCCCGCCGAGCCCTGGGAGAGCCCGGCCGCGGAAGCGGAGCTTGTTACGGAGCCATCCTGCTTTTAATTAACAAATTAAAATCCTGGTTAACAATCCAGCCCCAGGGCTGATGGAGGCTGGGAGAAGCTGGAGCGTTTGTTATGGAAACAGCAGCTAATTAGCAAATAAATAAATAAGGATGGGCCTGGAGACAGCGGCGGGCGGAGGAAGGGGAGATGCGGTGGTGCCGGCTTGGCAGGAGGGTGTCCCTCCATCCGCTCCTGCATTGCCAGCATTCCCGGCAGGACCGTGTCCGTCTGTCCGTCCCGTAGCCCGCTCCAGGCTGGCGTTGCTCCCATACGGGACGGAGGGGCCGGGCTGCATCCCGGCTCCATGCGGGGATGCCGTGGAGCGGAGCGCGGTGCCGGGAGCGGCGGCTGTCCGTCCCGTAGCCCGCTCCAGGCTGGCGTTGCTCCCATACGGGACGGAGGGGCCGGGCTGCATCCCGGCTCCATGCGGGGATGCCGTGGAGCGGAGCGCGGTGCCGGGAGCGGCGGTGCCGGGAGCGGCGGTGCCCGGCGGGAGGCTCCAAGCGCGCGGCCGAGCGCGGGAATCGCGTTTCACGGGCGGGTGGGTGCACCCCGGCACGGCGCCCGCGCTCGCATGGGACATGGGGTTTGATTAAGGCGGCCGCGATTAATTTACGGCAAGTACGCGCGCGGCAGCGGAGAGGTTGCTTTTAATTAATAGCCAGGAGGAGTTTTATAAAGCTCCTGCTCTCGGCGGGGGAGAAGGGAAGGGGGAGGCGGGCAAGGACGGGAGCGGAGGGAGTTGCAGGGATTTACGGGCACATTCACAATTACGTCCTTTTCTAGCTGTGGAAAAGGGGGGGAAATATAAAAAAGCCTGTGGAGGAGCAGGCCGCCTGCACGCGCCGCCGCACGTGCACTGAGTTTGCTGGGACTCAGCAGCCGCCGGCCGCCGCGGCCCCGTTACGCTCCCGTCCCTGAGCGCCTTCGGCTCCAGGTGCAGGGAGCGCTCGGCGCCTCTGTTTGCATTTTATTAAAGGAAAGCGGACGCATCTCCGGAATACTAATGGCTCCAGCCATGCCGGTGAGCACTGCTAATCCGCCCGCATCCGCTGGGTCCGGCGAGCGGGCGGTGGCCGGGATGCGGAGTGCAGGATGCGGGATGCAGGATGCGGAATGCAGGGCCATGCTCTCCGTGTCCTGCTCCGGGGCCATGCGCTGTTTCACGGGTACAATTGCCTTACCAGAGACGGTGAAAAATCAATGTATTTCCTGGGAATACCGCCTGGGAATGGCTTGGAAAGGGATGCGGCTCCTTCGCGCGGAGCTGGCCCGGCTGCCTGGCTCAGCCCCTCCGCGTGGCTCCGGCTGTGGAGCCGGGATCCCCGCCAGCACCGCCACTATATTTAGCAAAGGCGGAAAAAATTCCGCCTTGGAAAAGCCAGGCAGGCGTGAAGGAGCAGGGAGAGGGCGGGATGGGCACCGGAGCGGCCGGTGGGCGCCGGGACTGGCGGGAGCGCCGGGAGCCTTAACCCCCGCGGTGCCGCGGCGCCGGGGAGCGCGCCGCCGGGGCGCTCCCCTAATGAATAATAAAAACAAAGCAGAATTACCCTCCTTATTGAAACGCGTTTTATGAATAAAACAATTATTCTGGTAATTGAAAAAATGTGTCGTTAAATTAAATGCAGTGGTTCCTATTAAAATTTTAGTGGATTTCTGCTTCTCCATTTCTCTTCTCCTCGTGTTCCTCCTCTCCCTCCCTCCCCGGCCTCCGCTGGCGGCTAAAGGCTGGTAATTATAGCGGCGGGTTTCGCTTTCTCGTTATTGTTTTTTAATCTTGGCGTGCTGCGTCGCGCTGCGAGAGCCTCGAGCAGGGGGATCCGCTTGACCTCCGGGTGCCGGGGCCTGTGCCGGGGCATCCTGCAATGCAGCAGCTGCATCCCAGGGCGCTGCATCCTGGGGCGCTGCATCCCGGGGTTCTCCATCCCGCTGCCAGGAATTGCTATTTCTCATGGGGAAACTGAGGCAGGGATGGTCAAGACTGGACCCCTCCATCCCCCAGGCTGCCCGCGACGCGCCGTGCCCTTGGCAAAGCTTCAGGTTGGCTTCCTCGGGGCTTAAACCTTCCCATCAGGAGGGATTTGCGGGCGGGCAGGGGTGGCTTAGTTCCCGGGCGGCCCATTAGGCCGGGCATTAGGATCCATTACGGCTCCGGGGGCGCGCTGCCCTATATCCGCTAATGCGCCCGCCCGCGCTGGGGCGCAGCCCCCCTGTAAATAAAGTGCCGGGCCCAAGATGCTCATCCCGTTAGCGGGGATTAGGAGCGTTCAGATGTCGCTGGTGGTGGCAGGGAGAGCCGGGCTCGTCCCCTGTCCCGGCGGCAGCGCCCGGCTCCCTCATCCTGCGTTTTCCAGGGTGCTCCGGAGCCCGCGGGATGCGCGCCCGGAGCGCCGCGCCGCCGGCAGATGTGCAGCTGTTCCCGGACCGCCGCAGCCGCCTGCGTTTGGGAAGTGATGAATTTCTGCACCGACTAATTAGTCTCTAATTAGCGAGTGGAGTGTAAACAGTCGCAGCAGATGGGGAGAGGCAGAATTAGCGGTAATGACCCTTGGTTTGAATGGGGGGGAGGCAGTGGCACCAGCCGGTGATGGGGAAACCGGCCGTGGGCCCCGGAGCCGCGGGAGCTGCAGGGTCCTGGGTGATCCCAGACCCACGGGAGCCGCATCCACCCGGGCGAGCGGGACACACAGCTCATCCCTGCAATCCTGGGATTGCTGCTGCTGGCTCCGTGGATGTGGGCAGCATCCGGAAAACTGAGGTGGAGAAGCGCCCCTGCCCTGCTGTGGAACGCCGGGAAATCCAAGGAATTGGGCACTTTGCTCCCTCCCGTGCTGTGTCCCAAGGCCTCGGCAGCCAGATAGCACGGCGAGCTCAGAGGGGAATTAGGAGGCGCCTCTCCTGCCCGCACCGTTTTTCACCCGTTAATGCAGAACAGATGGCTCCGGTGCTTCAAAGCGCCATGCGACTTAGCTGCTTAAAATCAAATTAGGAGGAATGTGAGCAGCGTGCTGGCCGCGGGGACGGCGCGTGGTGACACCCGCGGTGCAGAGCCCCGTGCCATGGGGCTGCCGGAGGGCTCAGCGTGGGCATGTGCAGCGAGTGTGCCAGGTCTCAGCCCAGGCCATCCCGGTGCCGTCGCCGCTGCTCCAAGCTGCCTGGGTGAACCGGGAGCGGGGACAGGCGGTGTGGGGAGCCCACAGTAATCCCGTGGGTGGCCGGGCCTGGCCCTAACTCATCCGACGTGGGCGAAAGCTCCGGCACTGCAGGTCAAGCGTGTCTCTGCCGTGCTGTGGCGAGGACGTGCATGCCTGCATGGCCCCACGCATGTCCCCATGTACATATGTGCATGCATATCTCCATGCACACGTGTGCATGCGCATTCCCGTGCACGTGTGTGCATGCGCATTCCCGTGCACACGTGTGCATGCACATCTCTGTGCACAGGTGTGCATGCACATCCCTATGCACATCCCTGTGCACGTGTGTGCATGCACATCTCTGTGCACACGTGTGCATGCACATCTCTGTGCACAGGTGTGCATGCACATCCCTATGCACATCCCTGTGCACGTGTGTGCATGCACATTCCTGTGCACACGTGTGCATGCACATCCCTATGCACATCCCCGTGAACGTGTGTGCATGCACGTTCCTGCACATGCAGCGTGACCCACGCCGCGTGCAGACACGGCTTCTGCTGCCCGGTCACAGCACGGGTGTGCAGATCCCTGCACATCTCCCACCGCCCGCCTGCGGCCCTGGGCTGGGCTTGTGTGTTTCCAAGATGCCCTTGGTGCCTTTTCCCTTGTGCATCTTCAAAGCCAGGCGGCGCTGAGCTCCTGCCAGCTCGTGCCACTCGTGCCTGGGGCGGCGGGAGGCCGGGGCCGGCAGGTCCCGCGCTGCGGCCGGCCCTGGTGTCAAGGACTGAGGAGGAAGCGAGCGCGCGCGGGCGAGCGAGCGGCCGCCTGCCCCCAAGAACAAACCGGGAGCCGTGATTGAAAGCGCACTTGAAAGCTGCTGAGGAATATGAATGTGTCTTTGAAGTGAAAGGGCTTCCATTTGTTAAGCAGAAAATGGAGCTGTGTGTTTCGATTTATAGTTTTACTTAGCAAATAAAACAGGAGAGGAGTAAGTGCTTATGTCTCGCTCGGCTCCTGGCCCCTCCACCTCCCGTTACCCCCTAGCTGCGAGCTCAGAGCTTCTAAAGCACTACAAAGGCAGCCGGGAATGGAGAGAGAAAGCAGCTTAGATAAACCGAGCTGGGCTAAGCTGGCGGCGTGGCGCGTTGGCGGGGATGAGCCCAGGTGGAGCAGACCCCGGGCCAGGGATCCGCAGTGCGACAGGGGACGGGGGTGTTGGAAGTTGGCTTTGCTCCATGCCCATCTGCACATCTGCTCTGAGGCTCAGGGCATGCCTGAAATGAAACCGTTGGGACCTTCCTTGGTTGGGATCTTCCTTGGTCGGCATCTTCCTTGGTCAAAGTCCTCCTTTGCTAAGGTCCTCCTTGGTTGGGGTCTTCCTTCATCAGGGTCTTCTGTGGTTGGGATCTTCCTTGGTCAGCATCTTCCCCGGTCAATGTCTTCCTTGGTCGAAGTCTTCCTTGCTCAAGGTCTTCCTTGGTCAAAGCCCTCCTTGGTTGGGGTCCTCCTTGGTCAGGGTCTTCCCTGATCAGGGTCTTCCTTGGTTGGGGTCTTTCCTGGCTGGGCTCTTCCCCGCTCATGGTGCTCGCTGTGGTGGTGCGGCTGGGATTTGGTGGCTCCGGCGTGCGGCAGCTCTCAGCTCTCACCTTCTCTCCCTTCTCTCTCCGCAGACGACGTCTCCCCGTACTTTAAGACGGAGCCCGTGCGGAGCCAGGTGCACCTGGAGGGGAACCGCCTGGTGCTGACGTGCATGGCCGAGGGCAGCTGGCCCCTCGAGTTCAAGTGGCTCCACAACAGCCGCGAGCTCACCAAGTTCTCCCTGGAGTACCGGTGAGCCTGCGGATGCGCCTGGCGGGCGGGATGCGGGAGCGTCTCCGGGATGAGGGATGCAGGATGCGGGATGCAGGATGCTGAGCCAGAGTGCAGGTGCTGGGCTGGGTCTCCGGTTCCAACTCCATGTTGGGGGGCTTGGAGGGGCTGTGTGGGGGTGCTGAGCCCGGTGCCCTTCCCATCCGCATCCAGGGCACGTTATTCCAAGGCAGTAGAAGGGCTCCGGGATGTGCGTCTCGCCGGTGGGGCCGTGGGTGTAGGGGGGCTCCTGTGCGTGCGCACGCCGCCCGCTCCGCTGTAATCAATAATTCAGCCCGAGAGAAGCCGTTCCCCATTTAAAGACATCGAATCCAAAGGCTTTGGGTTGCTACAGCAACGCGGAGCTGCTCCGGGATGCCGGGAACGCGGACGAGGCGGCCGCGCCACGTCCCCCTTTTCCCCCGGCGCCTGCGGTGCCACGCGGAGCCCTCCAGCTTCCCGACTCCATGCCCGTCCGTGCGCCGGGGAGCGGGGCCTGGATTAGCTCAGGTGCCCGGGGGCCGGGAGGGAGCACAGGGCAGCCGTGGTGGGAATAATGCGAAATGTCCGGGAATAATGCGAAATGTCAACCATTAAATTGGATTGCGGGAAGCGCAGCGCGAGCGGCGTGGGGGGCCACGGAGCGCGCGGGGGTGCCCGAGGCCCGGCGGGGAGCAGGGGGTCCCGGCTCCTCACCTGCTGCTCCCTCTGGTTTTGGGGCCAGCCCCCTGCCCGCCCGGGGCCTCAGTGTCCCCTCGTGCTGCTCCAGAGCCCTGTGTCCCCCGGACCAAGGTGACCCCGTCCCCCTGAGCCCCGCTGGAACTCCAGCTCCGAGCCAGGAAGGATTAAGGAAGCAAGCGAGCAAACCAAGAGGTGTGCGGGGAAGCGGCAGCTCGGCAGCACGGAGCCACGTCCATGTGGATCGCTGCCTGGCCCTTCCCTCCGCTCCGCAGCTTGCGCCTTGGGATTGCATTTGGACGTTTGGCCTGGAACCGGAGCTGCAGGGGAGGAGGGCGAGGCGCTCAAATCAGTTATGATGGGCAGAAATTGCATTTTAATAGAGATGTAGGTGGCGTGGCGCCAGCCCGCTCAGGCAGCGGCAAGGTAGTAATTAAAAGTTAACGAGTTCAGATACAGCCTAATGCTGGGAGAGGGGCGGCCGGCTCCTTTCCCAGGGCCGTGTGCGGAAGCGCCGCAGGTCGCAGCACCCGATGGGGCCGGGAGCGCCCGGGTGCCCCGCTGCCGCCGCTCGCCCGCCCCGGGTCCCGGCTGCCGGCGCTGCCGCCGGCTTCGCTCCCACCTTTCCGAAGGGAAGGAGCCGCTCGCCCAATTTGGCAGCGTGTTTCCATAGCAACCGCCCTTTCCCTGCCGGCAGCGCGGGCGCAGCTTGCAGAGGGGAGCGACTCCCAGCGCTGCCAAGGGCCGGAGCTGGGATTGGGATGCAGCCTGACACTGCGTGTGCATTGAGCCAGCTCCGCTCAGGAGCATCCTCGGGGAGTGCCGGGGATGGGGAGCGTCCCGGTCCTGGGTGTGCATGGAGCTGCATCCCTTGGGGACCGTGGGGGACCGGGGAGCAGCCTGGCACTGTGCATGCACAGAGTCAGCTCTGCCTGGGAGCATCCTTGGGGACCACGGAGGCTTGGGACAAGCCTGGCTCCATGCGCAGGAGGAGCCGGCCCTCCTGGGAGCATCTTTGGGGACCACGGGGGATTGGGGAGCAGCCTGACTCCGTGTGCAGGAGGATCCAACCCTACCATGGAGCATCCTTGGGGACTACGGGGCACCGGGGACTGGCCCAGCTTCGCCCACTTGATTCCAGCGTAGGATGCATAGGGATGGTCCCCGATGCTCCAGCTGCATCCCTGGTCCCAGGGAGCCCCACAGCTGAAATGTGTCCCCTCGGGGAGCACCGTGACCTTGAGCGAGGCCGAAGTGGTGCAGCCTGGCCGGGCGAGCGCCCGGGCACGCCGCTCTCCCAGGGCTTTGCCATGCACAATCTCGCCAGTGCCGGGCTCTCCCCTGAGCTCTCCAGAGCCTGAACTTCTCGTACGAGGAATCCGAGCATGCAAATCAGGCAGCTTGATGCCTTTAATGAAATCCTCCCAAGGAAAGCGCTTCTCTGGCGAATTGAGGATATTTATTTATTCGCATACAAGAAATTTAACATGCAGATTAGTTGGGCCTGGTAATTTATCACAGGAGATTGTCCTATTAAGGGCTGCCTCGAGCCCTGCTGCCTTCGGAAATTGCCTTGCCCATCCATTACCTCCGGACAGGCTGCTGTCCACGAGGAGGCATCTCCCACCTCCCAGAGCGTCACCGTCTCCCCCTGCACCGCTCTGCAGGGCCGGCGGGATCCTGGAGCCCCCAGACCCCTTGTCAGCCCCACTGCCCCCACACAGCCTCTCCTTGGCTTGCTGATTGGCAATTACCAGGAGGTGGTAATTAGCAGGGGTGCTTAACCAGGAGTTGGTAGTTAGCAGGGGTGCTTAAAGGCACGGTGAGGGAAGCAGGTACTTCTGCAGGGAGGTGTGTGTGTCCCTGTGCGGCTGGCTTTGCCATTAATGCCCACTTCAGTTCTCCTGTGACTTATGGGGCCAGTTGAGGCCGTGATTTATGGGGCCACCAGAGCTCCTGGAATTCCCCTGGCCAAAGGAAACCACTTCCATGGACAGCGGACAGGCAGCCGAGGCCAATACAGAGCCCAATGCAGAGCCCTCCCTGCACGGAGCCAAGGGACAGCCGGCAACGCGGGAATGACGGAGCCTGGGAACAGGGATTGCCCAGCGCCGCGGGCAGCACCGGGGCCTGCCACCCGCTGCCGAGACTCATCACCCTCTGCTAAGTGTGTTTTAATGCTCACTTGACATTTCATTACCGCACAGTAACTCTTCAAGCACACGTCCCCTCCAGAATTAATTAGTCGTTACCCAGGGTGTTAATCAAAGGGGGCTGTGGATGCGCGTTGACTGCAGTGAGGTCCAGGCGCTGCCGTTCGGGGCTGCACCGCGTAGAGCCTTCTGCATGCTCTGGGTTTGGCAGGACCAGCCCCTCCGGCATCCCTGGGAGCTGTGAGCTCTGCCGGGGCTCCCGTCCCGCTGCCCTTCCCAGCTGGAGGGCTGCCTGTCCCGGAGCTGTGCACTCCTTCCCTGCTCGCATCACAGGCTGCAGAGGATTTGGCTTCATGTGCATGATCTGTCCATCGGCTCGACCGGTGCTGATGTCGGATGCTTTGCAAGGCTGCTGCTCCTCCGGGATGTGTCTCCCGGCTCCGGCTGCCCTTCCTGACCCGGTGGCCTGGAGCGCGGCCTGGCTGCTTCCCGGGGCGCCTCGAGGCGCCTGCTGTCCTTCGTCACCGCGGTTCCTGCGACACGGGTCACCTCTTCCCGAGGATGCGTTTTCCCCGTGGACGATGCTCTGTCAACTCCGTCTTTTGGAAACGAAACAAACAAGTGCCGAACGGAGGCGTCAGCGGCTGGGGATGCTCTGGGAATCCGGTGGGGCTCCGGGCCGGATCCGGTGGCTGCGCCTGCTCCATGGGGCTGGGAAGGGCAGCCCGGCCAGCAAGGGCAGCACTGGGAGCTCGGCAGCCACGGGTCGGGCTGTGCCCGGGGGTCAGTTCTGTCCGGGATGTGCTGATGGTGTCCGGATATCCATGCACCCCTGCACGCTGTGCTTGGGAATTGTGTTGTGCGAGTGGGATCCGTTAACTCGGAGGGTGCGCCCGTGCCGCTGCAGGGGTGGCACCCACTGCCTTCCCCCGGTGCTCATCTCTGCTCCCCAACTCTCCCTGTGGCGTAGTGAATCCTGGGAATAGCAGAGTTGGGATTTGCTATCCCAGGGACATTGCTCTGGATGCCAACACGCCTCTGCTGCAGAGGCTCCTGCACTGGCCTCACCGGGTCGGGTGTGATGCTCTGGTTAACCCATCAAAAGAGCAAACGAAGCTGAGCTGAAGCTGTGCAGGGCACCGAGCTGGGGCTCGGGAACGTGCAGGGCACCGAGCTGGGGCACGGGAACGTGCAGGGCACCGAGCTGGGGCACGGGAACGTGCAGGGCACCAAGCTGGGGCATGGGAACGTGCAGGGCACCAAGCTAGGGCACAGGAAGGTGCAGGACACCGAGCCGGGGCACAGAAATGTGCCGAACAACAAGCCGGGGCACAGAAACGTGCAGGGCACCGAGCTGGAGCACGGGGATGTTCCCGGCGCTGGCGTTCCCTCGGTGGCAGCGCGGGCCGCTGCGCCGCCCGCGGTGCGTGTGGTGCCCGCGGTGCGTGTGGTGCCCGCGGTGCGTGTGGTGCCCGCGGTGCGTGTGGTGCCCGCGGCCGCGTGCGTGGCGAGCTGCCCCGCGCGCTCAGGCCCCGCGCCCTCCCGCAGCTACATGATCACGTCGCTGGACCGCACGCACGCCGGCTTCTACCGCTGCATCGTGCGCAACCGCATGGGAGCCCTGCTGCAGCGCCAGACCGAGGTGCAGGTGGCCTGTAAGTGATGTGCCAGCCATCGGGGGACACGGGGGGGACCCACAGTGCAGGGCATGAGCTCCCGTACCCGGTGCGAGGATGAGGAGGGTGGCGCGGGGCACAGGGGCACATTGGCTGCTTTGCCAGCCCGGGGTGATGCGGGATGTGGCCGGGGTCCCCACAGAGCGCCCTGCACTTGCCCTGCCGCGCTCCCGCGAGCCCTTCCCTTGCAGCAAGGACAAATCAGGAAGCTAATGAGGAATTAATAAGGCAGCTGTGCTAACAACTAGTGCTAATGGCAAAGTCGTTAAAAAAAGATTCTTTACATGTTTTTAATTACAGCAATTAAGGGAAGTCAATAAAGATCCCCCCCCTTCCCCTTGCACCCTGCTTTACTCTCCTTTATTGCAAGGGTTATAAATTTCCAGCTTGTGATGGGCTAAGGCGGGAGGCGGCAGCGTCGGGCGCCCGCGCGGCGCTGATGCCGCCGCCTCCGCAGACATGGGCAGCTTCGAGGAGGGCGAGGGGCAGCAGCGTGTGTCGCAGGGCCAGGCGGCCGTGGTGCCCGCGCCGCGCATCGCCAGCTTCCCCCGGCCCCAGGTCACCTGGTTCCGCGACGGCCGCAAGATCTCGCCCAGCAGCCGCATGTGAGTAACGCGGGCGGCCCCGCGGAGCCCGCGCGTGGCCCGGGCGCCCTGCAGGATCCCTGCGTCCCTGGCGCTGCCTTTCCCCTGCTCGGGGTCCCCGGCGCTGCATTTTTTGTGCTCTGGGTCCTGGGTGCTGCCTTTCCCCTGCTCTGGGTCCTGGGCGCTGCATTTTCACCCACCAGATCCTGGGTGCTGCCTTTCCCCTGCTCTGGGTCCTGGGTGCTGCATTTCCCCTTGCTCTGGGTCCTGGGTGCTGCGTTTCCACCCACCAGGTCCCTGGTGCTGCATTTCTTGTACTGTGGGTCCCGGCTGCTGCATTTCCCCATGCTCCAGCTCTGGAGCGCTGCATTTCCCACCCTCTCCATCCATGGCACTGCATTTCCCACGCTCTCTATCCCGCGTCCTGCTCTCTCCCCTCCACATGCCCAGGAAGCCACGGAGCAGCCTGGCATTAAACCTCCTTCTCGAGCACCGTGCATGAAAACCCAGACACGGCTGCCAATGCTCCCACTTGGCACCGGGATCCGGGGAGCCTGCGAGATGCGGGATGGGGGAGAAGTGGACAGGGCGCAGCGGGGGCGGGGAGGAGCACCCGGCGCCCACGGATGCGCCGTGCCGGAATTGAATTTGTAACCCACATTATGCAGGAATTGAACTGGTCTCCTTTCTATTTGCAAAGCGGGATTGAGGAGATAAAACTGCTTTATCTCGTATTTAATGGTAAAATATATTCCCCAAACCATTTTATGTTTCCAGCAGATTAGATCGTTCCATAAAAAAAAAAAAAAAAAAGAGAAAAACCACCATTAATCTGCACTGTGCGCGGCGGCTGCGAGGGGGGCAGCAGGGAGGGCTCGTTTTGGGGCGAGTGTCTCTGTCCCCGTCCCCCAAGGCTGCCCTGTCCCCGCAGAGCCATCACGCTGGACAACACGCTGGTCATCCTGTCCACGGTGGCCCCGGACGCGGGGCGCTACTACGTGCAGGCAGTGAACGACAAGAACGGGGACAACAAGACGAGCCAGCCCATCACGCTGGCCGTGGCCAGTGAGTGCGCGCGGCCCCTGCCCGGCGCCCGGGCCCCGCTTTAATTTGCAGTAAATCTCTTCGGGAGGCTCCGGCTGCTGCTGACTTGGCAATTGAGCCGCTTCCAAATTTACTGCGTTGCGTGCGAGGGCTGCAGCGCGCACGGAGCCCATCCCGGCCGTGCGCGGCTCCGGGATGCTCCGGGAATCCGGAGCAGAGGAGCCCCTGCTGCGGGCACCTCCCTGGCTTTGCCCCTGTCCCCTGCATTGCTCCAGATCAGCCCCATTTGGGGACACGCGGGTGGCCCCATCCCTCTGCTCGCCGGGATCTGCTCGGGGATGAGCTCGACCCAGGAATGATGCCCCAAGGCGGCATTGCTCCGCGTGGTGCCGCTGCTCCGGGTGCTGCTCCAGGTGCCTTCCCGGCAGGATGTTTATCCACCCCCACCTCGCTAATCTGTTGTTCTGCCCCTCGCCGTTCCGGCGGGCGATAAACGGTGTGGAGCCCGTTTATGGATTCGGCTCTATCAGCAGCTTTCGAGCCGATCATGTTTTTATGGCGCCTACATGAGGGTTTTTTATCGCGGCAATTATTTTGCTTTATATACTCCCTGCCTTCTCCCTCCCGACCCGTGCCTTGCTGGAGCCACCCTCCAGGCTCGCTATGGGAGATGCTTTACGGGGAGCTCCGGAGGTGCCCTGGTGCCGGGATGATGGGCTGGTCCAGCCCAGGAGCTGGAGTGGGCGCTGCTCTTACCCAGGCTTTGGGGAAGGGGCTTTGGGGATGCTCGTGGAGCGCACGGGATGCTCGTGGGGCGCACGGGTGCTGACTGCTGTTGCATTGGCCATCTCTCCACAGATGTGGGTGGCCCAGCCGATCCCATCGCTCCCACCATCATCATCCCGCCTCGGAACACCAGCGTGGTGGCGGGCACCTCGGAGGTGACCCTGGAGTGCGTGGCCAACGCCAGGCGAGTGGACGGGAGCGCGCGGCGCGGCGGGCGGGCAGGGGCGCGCGGCGGCGCCCTGGACGTGCCGCCCGCTCCGGCAGGCCGCTGATGAAGCTGCACATCGCGTGGCGGAAGGACGGCGTGCCCGTCTCGAGCGGCATCAGCGACTACAGCCGCCGCCTCACCGTGCTGCACCCCGCACTGCGCGACAGCGGCTACTACGAGTGCGAGGCGGCGCTGCGCAGCAGCAGCGTCCCCGCCGTGGCTGCCGGCGCCTTCCTCTCCGTGCTGGGTAAGGGGCGGCGCGCGGCGCGCGGGGCCGCCGTTGGGGAGCGGGGCCCCCGCTGCATCCGCGGCCGCCCCTCGCAGAGCCGCCGCAGTTCGTCAGGGAGCCGGAGCGGCACATCACGGCCGAGATGGAGAAGGTGGTGGCCATCCCGTGCCAAGCCAAAGGTGAGCGGCCGTGGCGCCGGCGGCGCGGCGCACCGGCGGGCACTGACCCTGCCGCCCTGCAGGCGTGCCCCCGCCGGCCGTGGCGTGGTACAAGGACGCGGCGCTCCTGCCCCTGGAGCAGCTCTCCCGCTTCCAGCTGCTGCCGGACGGCAGCCTGCGCATCAGCGGGCTGCTGCCCCACGACACCGGCATGTTCCAGTGCTTCGCGCGCAACGCCGCCGGAGAGGTGCAGGCCACCACCTACCTGGCCGTGACCAGTAGGTGCCATGTGGGATGGTGCCTGGGATGCTGCGGGATGGGAGAGGGGGGATGAGCCTGGATGTCCCCCTGTCCCTGCTGGGCTCTGCGGGGGTCCCTGGGCTCTGCCGGGTGGGATACAGGGGTGTCCGCATGTCTCGCCGCTCCAGGCATCGCGCCCAACATCACCAAGGGCCCCCAGGACAGCACGGTCATTGACGGCATGTCCGTGGTCCTCAACTGCGAGACCGCGGGGGCTCCACGCCCTGCCATCGCCTGGCAGAAAGGTAAAGGGCCTCTGCGAGCTCAGCCGGGCGCCGTGCTCCCCGCGCGGGGCTCACGGCTCCCTCGGGTGCCCAGGGGAGCGGATCCTGGCGAGCGGCTCCGTGCAGCTGCCGCGCTTCACGCTGCTCGAGTCGGGCAGCCTCCTGGTGAGCCCCGCGCACCTCGCCGACGCCGGCACCTACAGCTGCCTGGCCACCAACTCGCGCGGCGTGGACGAGGCCTCGGCCGACCTCGTCGTCTGGGGTAAGGGGCCCTGCGCTGCCGCTGCCCTGCCCGTGTGTGTGGGATGGGATGGGATGGACCCTGCTCTTTCCACGTGTATGGAGTGGGATGGAACCTGGTCTATCCGTGTGCACGGTGTGGGATGGACCCTGCTCCATGCATGCACACGGTGTGGGATGGACCCTGCTCCATCTGTGTGCACAGTGCGGGATGGACCCTGCTCCATGCATGTGCATGGTGTGGGATGGATCCAGCCACACTGCGGTTTCCTGGGGACACCCAGGACGGGCACGGGCACTTGGTTGGCCAATTTGGAGAGGTGCTTCAGCCATCCCGTGTAATTCTGTCCCACGTCCCACTGTCAGCTCCATCCCCGCGGGCTCTGTCACTTCCCGCTGCTGTGTGAGCATGCCGGGTAATGCTGGGGTCTCCCTTGTCCCTCCCGCAGCAAGGACACGGATCACGGACCCGCCGCAGGACCAGAGCGTCATCAAGGGCACCAAGGCCTTCATGAGCTGCGGGGTCACCCATGACCCCAGTGTGGCCATCAGGTGGGTGAGCCGGGTCGCGGCGGCTGGCGGAGCAGCCGGGGGCCGCGGATGCCACTGCCGCCACCGCCACCGCGCGGTCCCCGGCGCGGCTGCAGCGCGGCGCTCCCGCAGTGCCACCTGGTGCCCTGCACGCCGGCTCCCGCCGCGCAGGACGCCTGGGCCCCCCGGGCTGGCGCGACCCCTCCTTGCACCTTCCTGACGCAGGCACGTGTGGGAGAAGGACGGGGCGCCGCTGAGCGCGGACGGGGCCGGGCGGCTGCGCCTGGACGAGGCCGGGACGCTGCACATCTCGCAGACCTGGTCGGGCGACATCGGCACCTACACCTGCAAGGTGCTCTCGGCCGGCGGCAACGACTCGCGCAGCGCCCACCTCCGTGTCCGGTGAGCGTCCCCGCCGCCCGGCCCCAGCCACCCGGGAGCCCCCCCACCCTGATGGCCCTGTCCCCCTGCCCCGCTCCAGGCAGCTCCCCCACGCTCCGGAGAGCCCCGTGGCCACCCTGAGCCCCCTGGAGAAACGGGCCATCAACCTGACCTGGGCCAAGCCCTTCGACGGCAACAGCCCCCTGCTCCGCTACGTCGTGGAGGTCTCCGAGAACAGTAAGATGGGGCTCCTGGGGGACATGGGTGCTCGCTGTCCCCACCTTCAGCTCATCAGGAGAGGGGAACACCAGGGCTGGGGGGAACACAAAGTGATGGGCAGTGAAGAGGGACATGATGGCAGCAAGGTCAGAAAGGGGACAGGAGGCTCCGGAGGGCTGGGGGACGCCCAGCTCTTCCCTAGAGCTTCTGCGGGGTAAAGGTCCCAGGTGTCCAGCCAGCCCGGTCCCCCACGGCGCTGTCCCGCTGTCCCCTGCCCAGACGCGCCCTGGACGGTGCTGCTGGCCAGCGTGGACCCCGTGCTGACCTCGGTGGCCGTGAGGGGCTTGGTGCCCGCCCGCTCCTACCAGTTCCGCCTGTGCGCCGTGAACGACGTGGGCAAGGGCCAGTTCAGCAAGGACACGGAGAGGTGAGAGGTGGCCGGGGACGGGGCGCGTTGGTGGCCCCGGGTTCCTGACCCTCCTCCCACCCCGTCGCAGGGTGTCCCTGCCCGAGGAGCCGCCCTCGGCGCCGCCGCAGAACGTCATCGCCAGCGGCCGCACCAACCATTCCATCATGATCCAGTGGCAGCCGCCGCCGGAGAGCCACCAGAACGGCGTCCTCAAGGGCTACGTGATCCGGTGAGCGGTCGGTGAGCGTGGCGGGGCGCCGCGGGGACGCCGGCCCTGCTGACGGCCCCTCGCGCCCAGCTACTGCCTGGCCGGCCTGCCCGTGGGCTACCAGTTCAAGAACATCACCAGCGCCGAGGTCAACAACCTGCTGCTGGAGGATCTCATCATCTGGACCAACTACGAGATCGAGGTGGCCGCCTACAACAGTGCCGGCCTGGGCGTCTACAGCATGAAGGTGACCGAGTGGACGCTGCAGGGAGGTATGTGGGGACGGAGACCCCTCGCCAGGGCTTGGCACTGCCTAAGTGGGCAGTGTTGGGCAGGGGGCATGGAAGAGAGGGGTGCATGGGGACAGGGGCACCATGGAGGGATGGGTATATGGGGACAGGGATGCTCCGTGTGGGATGGCTGCATGGGGACAGGGATGCTCCATGTGGGATAGGTCCAGGGCCCCCGTTGGGACCAGCCACGGGCTGTGGATCCCAAGGGCAAGGTGGGCTCAACCATGGGCATCGCCCCAACTTGGGGCCAGAGCCACCGAGAGCTTGTCCATGTCCTGGCAGTGCCAACGGTGCCCCCGGGCAATGTGCAAGCTGAGGCCACCAACTCCACCACCATCCGCTTCACCTGGACCCCCCCCAGCCCCCAGTTCATCAACGGCATCAACCAGGGCTACAAGGTGAGGGGCCCTGCGAACCGGCCTCGTTTCTCAGTTCAGGATCCCCCGGCTATTTTGATAGCTTCCAGCCCGAGTGTTAAAATAATATTTACTGAGTTTTAACACTTGCATGGCCTCCGTGCCTCCCGCGCTCTGTAATTAATTTGCAAATCGCAATTAATTCAAATTTACGTTAATTAAATTGAATTAAAACATTAAACTTGTTTCTTAATCCACTCCAAAGAAGTTGGGGAACTTAATTGCCGCTGAGCGAGATAACCGGAGCGAGCAGGATATTTAGCGCTCTTATTAAACGCCACTTTAGGATTTCTGATTAGTATTTTTAGGGCCTAATTAGAGCTTAATTAAGTTGCTGTGGGCTCTCTCGCGTGCTGGCACCAGAATGCACGGGGATGCCCGTTTGGCGACGCGGGGTGCCGGGGTGCCGTGGGGCCTCATGGGCGCCCGGTGCCCGCAGCTCATCGCGTGGGAGCCGGAGCGCGAGGACGAGGCCACGGTGGTGACGGTGCGGCCGGATTTCCAGGCCCGCGCGCACGTGGGCTACGTGGCCGGGCTCAAGAAGTTCGCCGAGTACCTGACGTCGGCGCTGTGCTTCACCACGCCGGGCGACGGCCCGCGCAGCCCGCCCCAGCTGGTGCGCACGCACGAGGACGGTACGGGGACGCCCTGCCCGCCGGCACCGGCCCCGGCCCCGCGGCGCCGCTCACCCGCGCTCTCCCTCCGCCAGTGCCGGGCCCCGTGGGCCACCTCAGCTTCGGTGACATCCTGGACACGTCGTTGCGGGTCAGCTGGAAGGAGCCGGCGGAGAGGAACGGTGTCCTCACGGGTGAGACGGGTCCTGTGGTGTCCTGTGGGTGGGTGATTCCCAGGGTGGTCTCACGGGTGAGACAGGTCTCCTCATGGGTGCTGGGGTGTCCCATGGGTTGTCGGGTCTCCTGGTGTCCCCCTTGCCACCGCTTGATGCCATGGGGTTGCATCGCAGGCTACCGCATATCCTGGGAGGAGTACAACCGCACCAACACGCGGGTGACGCACTACCTGCCCAACGTCACCCTGGAGTACCGCGTCACCGGCCTCACCGCCCTCACCACCTACACCATCGAGGTGGCCGCCATGACCTCCAAGGGACAAGGACAACTCTCCTCCTCCACCATCTCCTCGGGGGTGCCCCCAGGTGAGCGCGCGCTGCAGGGCCGCGCTGCCGCGGGGCCCCCCTGCCGTTGCCACCACCCTCGCCCGCCGTGTCCCCGCAGAGCTCCCCGGCGCGCCCACCAACCTGGGCATCTCCAACATCGGCCCGCGCTCGGTCACGCTGCAGTTCCGCCCGGGCTATGACGGCAAGACGTCCATCTCGGGCTGGCGCGTGGAGGCGCAGGTACGGGGCGGTGCGGGCATGGGTGGCGCGCGCGGGGTCCCGCTCAGCCCGCTGCCCCGCGCAGGTGGGACAGGCCCCCGACGGCGGCCCCTGGCACCTCGTGCACCAGCTGGCCGGCGAGCCCGACGCGCGCTCCATGGAGGTGCCCGACCTGCGCCCCTACACCCACTACAGGCGAGTGGCCGCCGCGGGGACGCGACGGGCTTTTTGTTGCCCCTGACCCCGGCTCTTCTTTGCCCTCTCCGCAGCTTCCGCATGCGGCAGGTGAACATCGTGGGCACCAGCCCGCCCAGCCTGCCCTCCCGCAGGATCCAGACCCTGCAGGCGCCGCCCGATGTGGCGCCCGCCAACGTCACCCTGCGCACGGCCAGCGAGACCAGCCTGTGGCTGCGCTGGATGGTGAGGGGTGCTGGGGCTACACACATGGGTGTTGCGTGTGCATGAGGTTGCATGTGTGGGTGTTGCATGTGCACAGGGCTGCACGCGTGTGTTGCGTGTGCATGAGGCTACACGTTTGGGTGCTGTGCATGGGGTCACCACGGCTGCTTCCAGGGCTCCCTGGGGCTGGGCACAGGGTTGCACATTGGGTGCTGTGCATGGGCTCATTGTGGCAGTGCATGGGGCTCGCTCGGGCACCATGCACAGGGCTCCCCAGGGCACCGTGCACAGGGGTGCATGCTGAGCACTGTGCATGGGCTCACTGCCCTGCACTATGCATGGGCTCACGTGTGCACAGGACACGTCAGGACTGGGCACGGGGCTGCACACTGGGCACCGTGCATGGGCTCCCCAGGGCAGCGCGCGGCTCTCCGGGGCCGGCTGGATTAGAGGGAGCGGAGCTGTTCCTGCCCGGCAGCTCTGGGGAAGCTGAGGGGAGGACGGAGCCCGGGAGGATTCAGGATGGTTCCCAGGGCTGACGGTGCCACTTTCCCACGGGTTGGCAGCCGCTACCCGAGCAGGAGTACAACGGCAACCCCGACTCGGTGGGCTACCGCATCCGGTACGCGCGGGCGGACGGGCGTGGGCAGCCGCTGCTGCACACCATCCCCGACCGCGTCGAGCGCGAGTTCACCATCGAGGACCTGGAGGAGTGGACCGAGTACCGCATGCAGGTCCAGGCCTTCAACGCCATCGGCGCTGGGCCCTGGAGCCCCTTGGTGGTGGGGCGCACACGGGAGTCAGGTACCACTGCATCCCCATCCGTGTGGTGCTGCATTCCCGTGGCACTGCATTCCCGTGGTACCAGCACTGAGCTGTGCTCTCGTCCCCAGTGCCATCCTCGGGCCCCTCCAATGTGTCCGTGCTGGCCACCACATCCAGCAGCTTGCTGGTACGCTGGAGTGACATCCCCGAGGCCGACTGCAACGGGCTGTTGCTGGGCTACAAGGTGGGCGGCCGCCCCGCGCCCGTGCCGGCGCCCGTGCCGCGGAGCGCGGTGTCCCACGGGCGCGCTGCCTGCAGGTCGTGTACCAGGAGCAGGAGGCCGAGGCGCCAGCTCGCTTCTGGCTGGTGGAGGGCAACGCGTCGCGCAGCGCCCAGCTCGCCGGGCTGCGCAAGTACACGCTCTACGAGGTGCGCGTGCTGGCCTTCACCAGGATGGGCGACGGCGCGCCCAGCCACCCGCCCGTCCTCGAGAGGACGCTGGATGACGGTGGGTGCCTGCAGCAGGGAGGTCCCTGGCTCTCCAGGGCTCTCCGGGTGTCCTGGCTTTCCAGCCGCCTCCCTGGGGTCACCGCTCTGTCCTGGCGGTGCTGGTCCTAGTGAACCCCTATCTCTGTGCCCTGCAGTGCCCGGCCCCCCCGTGGGCATCCTCTTCCCCGAGGTGAGGACAACGTCGGTGCGGCTGGTGTGGCAGCCGCCCGCGGCGCCCAACGGCATCATCCTGGGTAGGTGCGCAGCCGGGATGCTCCGCAGGGACGGGGAGCAGGGAGAGCCGCTCCCAGGGCTGCCCCGGGCACTGGGGATGCCCCATGTCTGCCTTTCCCACAGCCTACCAGGTCACGCACCGGCTCAACACGAGCGCTGCGGGTACCGGCGCGGGAGAGCTGCTCGAGCCCAGCGCCCGGCACTACACGGCCACCGACCTCCTGCCCGAGGCCGCCTACGTGTTCCGCGTCGCGGCGCAGACCCGCAAGGGCTGGGGCCAGGCGGCCGAGGCGCTCGTGGTCACCACCGAGAAGAGAGGTGAGGGCGCGGAGCGGGGCGACGCGGCACGCGGGGCGGGCTGTCCCTGTGCCCACCGTGCCACCCCCTCCCGTCCCGCGCAGAGCGGCCGCAGGCGCCCGGGAAGCCGCTGGCGCGGCAGGAGGACGTGGCAGCGCGGAGCGTGCGGCTCTCCTGGGAGCCGGGCAGTGACGGGCTCTCCCCCGTGCGCTACTACACGGTGCAGAGCCGCGAGCTGCCCCACGGCGCCTGGGCCCCGCGCGCCGCCGGCCCCAACGCCACCGCCTTCCTGGTGGACAGGTGAGACGGGGATGTGGGAACGGGAGCGCCGCACCCGGACAGGGCCGTGCCGAGCTGGGCATCCCCCGGATGAGATCCCACTTGGATGTGAGGCTGCTCTATGCCTGGAGTTTGGGCAATTGCCCTGCGCCCTGGTCTCCGGCCCCGTTTTGTCCATGCACAATCGGTGCAGAGCAACCGGGTGACATCCCCGGGTGATGGTGGGGGCTGATGCCGGCCCTGTCGTGCTCCCCGCCGCGCAGGCTGAAGCCCTTCACCTCCTACAAGTTCCGCGTGAAGGCGACAAATGACATCGGCGACAGCGACTACAGCGAGGAGTCGGAGTCACTCACCACCCTGCAGGCCGGTCAGTGCCCGGAGGGCTCGAGACGCCACCCGGGAGCAAAACTGCAGCTTGGGGAGGGGGTGTCCGGTGCCTCACTGCCCCTTTGCACCCCCAGCCCCCGAGGAAGCGCCCACCATCCTCTCCGTCACGCCGCACACCACCACGTCGGTGCTCATCCGCTGGCAGGTACCGTCTCTGTGGGACCTCCAGGGCTCTCCGAGGTGCTGGGTGCCAGCTCGGACACCCCTCACTGTCCCCTCGCTGCAGCCGCCGGCCGAGGACAAGATCAACGGGATCCTGCTGGGCTTCCGCCTGCGCTACCGCGAGCTGCTCTACGACGGGCTGCGCGGCTTCACCCTGCGCGGCATCGGCAACCCGGGCGCCACGTGGGCCGAGCTCACGCGTGAGTGCGGGCGGCCCCGCTGTGCATCCCGTGTGCCCCCGGCACTAGCTGCTTGCATGCACATCCCATGTAAATGTGTGTGCGTGCACCATACGTGTGCGTGCACCATACGTGTGCGTGCACCATACGTGTGCGTGCACCATACGTGTGCGTGCACCATGTGTGTGGGGCTGTGTGCGTGCAATACAGCATGGAAATCTCATGCAAACACCCCTGTATGCATGCATGCATGTGCACATCTTATGTGTAATTGCACACATACACGGCATTAAATCCCATGTGAATGCCTGTGTGTATATGCACAGTATGCAGATGTTAGCATGCAACACAGCATGCAAATTCCACACAAATTACTCTGTGTGCATGCACATATATGTGCACATCACACAGGTGCTTGCATGCAAATCCCATTCTAATGCCCATATGTGCATGCACATCACGTGGGCACTTGCATGCGAACGCCAGCATGGGACTTCACCCCATCTACTGCTCTGAAATGCCCCATGCCAAGAGCTGTGTGCGCAGACCCTGCCTGTGCCCCCATGGGCGGGCTGGCCCTGCTGGGGGCAGTTTGGGCGCGAGGGCACCCGTGTGCGCAGCACTAAGGGGCTCTCGCCTCCTCGCGCCAGCCGTCTACGCCGTGCACAACCTCAGCGAGGTCTCGCTCACCCAGTACGAGCTGCACAGTAAGTGGCCGCTGTCCACACGTGGCCTCCCGCCCTTCTGTCCCCTCCTTGTGGCCCTGGGGACGGCGCGGCCGCTCACGCCGTCCCCCTCTGCAGACCTGAGCAAGCACCGGCGCTACGAGATCCGCCTGAGCGTGTACAACGCCGCGGGCGAGGGCCCCCCCAGCGCCCCCCAGGAGGTCTTCGTGGGCGAAGCGGGTGAGCGGCTGGTGCGGGAGAGGGACCCCCGGCTGTATCCCCCCTGCTCCCTGCCCCGGGGGCAGCGGGAGCACCGGCGGGCGCCCACACTTTGCCCTGCGCCCGCGCAGTGCCCACCGCGGCACCGCAGAACGTGGCGGTGCAGGCGGTCACGGCCACCCAGCTGGACGTCACCTGGGACCCGCCGCCCCCCGAGAGCCAGAACGGTGACATCCAGGGCTACAAGGTACCGCGGCCCTCGCCAAGGAGCCAGCTGCCCTGGAGGGTGTTGGGGACTTTGGGGAGGGGATGCTGGAGGTCTCTGGGTTCCTGGGAAGTGCCAGGTACTGCAGGGATGCTGAGTGCTCAGGGGTGGTTCTGGGTGCATTCCCAAGGATGCTGGGTGCTCTGAGGGGATTCTGGGTGCACTTGCAGGGATGCTGGGTGCTCTGGAGAGATGCCGGGGAGCTCGCGCTGGTCCCAGGCTACATGCGAGCACCCGCAGGGCGGCAGAGGGCGCAGCTGGTCCTTGGACGTGGCAGGGAATGCAGCCGGGATGCGGGGATGCAGCGGGGGTGCTGCTGTGGCGGGGATGCAGCGGGGAGCTGCAGGAGCAGGGATGCAGAGGGATGAAGCGGGACACTGCTGGCGGGGCAGGGATTCGGCGGGGAGCGTTTGAGCGCAGCGAGCGCGGGGCTCATCCCCCATCCCCGCAGATCCACTTCTGGGAGGCGCAGCGGCAGAACGAGAGCGCGCGGGTGAAGACGCTCTTCCTGCCCGAGGGCGGCGTGAAGCTGAAGAACCTCACGGGCTACACCGTGTACTGGGTCAGCGTGGCCGCCTTCAACGCCGCCGGCGACGGGCCCCGCAGCGCCGCCGTGCCGGCGCGGACGCTGCAGGCAGGTGAGCCCGGGCTGCTCCGCAGGTCCAGAGACCGGTCCCCAAGGGTTTGCAGCTTGCTGGCTGAGACCGGGCAAGCTCCTTGCCTTGGTGCTGTTAGCAGGACCCCCCGTTTACAGCGTCGAGCACAGGGGTGAATCCTGGTGTACCGTGCCAAGCCTCCCGCGTGCTGCTTGCGGCGAGCGTGGCCCCGTGATGCTCGTGGGCCTCACGCGGGGATGACGCGGTGCCGAGTGGTACCCGCGGCTCCCTCCTCCGCTGCTTTTGCTGGAAGGGGCCTGGGTTTTCCCTGAGTTGCTGCTCAGCCTGGTGCCCTGTGTGGCAGGGAGGTCGATGGGTTGCTCCCCAGCACCTCCCACCCTCCTCCTCCTCTTCCTCCTCTTCCTCCTCTCCCTTTCCCGGTTGCCGAGAGTTCCGGGGTGCTATCCCTCTGGATCACACAGTGCCTGGGTAGGACACGAGCCGCAGGCCAGCTCTGTGCCCGGCGCGTCCCCCAAGGCAGCCCCTTGGCCCTGTCCCCTCGCAGCCCCCAGCGCCCCCGGCTCCATCCGCTTCAGCGAGCTGACCACGACGTCGGTGAACGTGTCCTGGGAGCCGCCGCCGCTGCCCAACGGGCTCCTCGAGGGCTACCGGCTGGTCTACGAGCCCTGCTCGCCCGTGGATGGTGAGGACGCGGCCGGGCGCGGGGAGAGGGACCCCGCGTGCCCCGCGCCCGGCTCAGCGCCGCCGCCCGCAGGCGTCAGCAAGATCGTGACCGTGGACGTGAAGGGCAGCAGCCCGCTGTGGATGAAGGTGAAGGACCTGGCCGAGGGGGTCACCTACCGCTTCCGCATCCGGGCCAGAACCTTCGTCTACGGGCCCGACATCGAGGCCAACGTCACCACGGGGCCCGGGGAAGGTAGGGGCGGCCGCCACGCAGCACCGCGGCTCCGGGGATGGGATGGGGTGGGATGCAATGGGATGGGATGCGATGGGATGGGATGCGATGGGATGGGGTGGGATGGGACAGTCCCCACCATGGCAGCAGCCCTGTCCCCACGGCACTGACTGTGCATCGCGTCCCCAGGTGCCCCCGGCCCCCCCGGCGAGCCTTTCATCTCCCGCTACGGCTCGGCCATCACCATCCACTGGTCAAGCGGGGACCCCGGCAAGGGGCCCATCACCAGATACGTCATCGAGGCCCGGCCGTCAGGTACCCGTGCCGCGTTCCCGCTGCCCGCCCCGCGTTCCCGCCTCCCGCTCCGCATTCCCGGTGCCCATGTGCAGCGGGAGCAGAGTCGCTGTCCCCGCCGCGGCTCCCAGCCTGCCGCCCTCTTCCAGACGAGGGGCTCTGGGACATCCTCATCAAGGACATCCCCAAGGAGGTGACCTCCTACACCTTCAGCATGGACATCCTCAAGCAGGGCGTCAGCTACGACTTCCGCGTCATCGCCGTCAACGACTACGGCTACGGCACCCCCAGCTCGCCCTCCCCCGCCGTGTCAGGTAGCCCCCGGCGGGGACGGTGTCCCCGGATGTCCCCAAGGTGGGGGGACACGTGGCTTTCACCCCACGGTTACTACAGAACCCCTTCCCGGTGACCTTGCTTGGCTCTGGCAGCACCATGCATAGCCCCCCAGTGTCCCCACCCCATTCCAGTAACCTCACCCCAGTCTAACCAGTTGCTCCATGTGGTTCGGTGTCCCTTTGACCCGCTGCGCTGTGTGCAGCCCAGAAAGCCAACCCCTTCTACGAGGAGTGGTGGTTCCTGGTGGTCATCGCCCTCGTGGGGCTCATCTTCATCCTGCTGCTCGTCTTCGTGCTCATCATTCGTGGGCAGAGCAAGAAGTACGCCAAGAAGTCGGACTCGGGTGAGCACGGCGGGAAGCGCAGCGGCCGCGGCTCCGGCTGGGATTAAATGCCGGCTTGTCTCGCAGAGGTCACCGGGATTAGCCAAACACAGCTCTGTTTTCTTAGCTGCATCAAGGGCTCAAATTGTGGGGAAAATCCAGGCCTCCTCGTTGAATAAACAGGGCCAGGGAGGCGGGAGCTGGGGCGGAGGCTGCGGGTCGGGCTGAGCTGCTGTGGGCTCTGCTCCGGGACGGCTCCGGGCTGCCTCTGGGATGGGTTGGTGGGAGCTGGGGCGGGCAGAGGGCTCGGGTGCTCTCGGGTGCGCTCAGCCCGGCGGCCCCGCAGGGAACGGCGCCAAGGCGAACGCCCTGGGCCACGGCGAGATGCTGAGCCTGGACGAGGGCAGCTTCCCCGCGCTGGAGCTCAACAACCGGCGCCTCTCCGTCAAGAACTCCTTCTGCCGCAAGAATGGCATCTACACCCGGTAGGGACCCCTGCCACCCCGGGGACCTGCCGTCCCTCAGGGGTCCCCTGGGGACCTGCCGTAGCCCAGCGTCCTGCTGCTCAATAGGGTCCTGCTACCCCCGGGCAACTGCCACCCGCACAGGGACCTCTGTGTCCTCCTGCCTCTGCTGCAGCCCCTGGCACTAGCCCTGTCCCCAACGGCTAAAGGGATGGTGAGGGGTCTGGGCTGGCGCTGGGGGGTCCAGGGACTGTCATGGGGCCGAGAGTGACCAGAGCATCTGCGTCCCACCGAGGTCCCCGCCGCGGCCCAGCCCCGGCAGCCTGCACTACTCGGACGAGGACGTGACCAAGTACAACGACCTCATCCCCGCCGAGAGCAGCAGCCTGACGGAGAAGCCCTCCGAGGTGTCCGACTCTCAGGTACCCCCGAACGCCCCTCCGAGCCTCCCGCCCGGCGCGGAGGAGCAGCTTCGGGATGAGCTCGTCCCGCTCGGAGGCAGCAGACATGGCACTGTGGTCTTTGCTGGGAAAAAGCAGCGGTTGTGGCTCTGGGAAGATGCTCCCTGGCCTCCGCACGAGGACAGATGCAGGAGCATCTTCCTGGGTGGAGGGACGTGGGCTCCCTTGCTGTGCTGGCCCTGCCACGGGGTGTCCTGCTCCTTTGGGCTGCCCTTCTCAGGGCTCAAGTGCCTTGGAGGAGCTGTGAAGAGCTGGACAGCAGGAGCTGGACACTGGGACCGCCTGGCTGGGCTGGTGGCCACCGTGCCCCTCAAAGGGCCCTTTGTGCACAGCTGAATTCGGTGACAGCGAGTGCGGGGAGAGCAGGGCGGCCGCGCGGGCAGGGGCACCCAGGCACGAGCCTTTGCTTTGGGCTGCAAGCTCGCCCCTTTGCTTGGGTGTAAGCTTGCTCCGGGGCTCGGTGTCCAAGCTGCCCCCATGGCTTGGTGGTAAGCTTGCTCCATCACTTGGGTGCAAACTCACCCTATTTCGAGTGCAAGCTTGCCCCATTCCTTGCAGTGCCCCCATGGCTTGAGGTCCAAGCTGATCTCCAGGGCTTGCTCCATCACTTTTGAGTGCAAGCTCGCCCCATTGCACGGGTGCAAGCTGCCCTGCGTGTCGGTGGCCGCGCGCTCACCGCCTTCCCCTGCCCGCAGGGAAGCGACAGCGAGTACGAGGTGGACGCGGGCCCGCAGAAGGGCCACTCCTTCGTCAACCACTACATCAGCGACCCCACGTACTACAACTCGTGGCGGCGGCAGCAGAAGGGGCTGTCGCGCGCGCAGGCCTACAGCTACACGGAGAGCGAGGCGGGCGAGCCCGAGCACGGGCCGCTGGCCACCGGCGCCGCCGCGCAGCAGGGCAGCCTGTTCCGCCCGGGGGGCAGCCGGACTCCCACCCCGCAGACCCCCGCCAACCCGCCCAGCCAGCCCGGCACCCTGTACCGCCCGCCCAGCAGCCTGGCGCCCGCCTCCCGCGCGCCCATCGCCGGCTTCTCCTCCTTCGTCTGACGCCCCCGTGCGCCCAGGACACCCCGGAGAGACGGAGAAGGAGCGAGCGGGGACGGACAGGCTGGCACGGCCAGGAGGGCGATGGGCGCCGTGCCGGGGCTCCGCGGGTGCTCTTGGCTTTCTCGGTGGTGCACGGAGCAAAACGAGGAGCGACTCTGCTGAGGATGAAGCCAGCTCCTTCTTTTGGGCAGAGCTTCCGGGGCTGGACTGTGTGCAGGGAGGGCCGGGGCAGCGGGGACGCGGGATGGGGCCGGCAGCCCCGGCTCCCAGCTCCGCTCGCTGTAACCTCTCCGGAGGGAAAAGTCCCAACCCGGTCCCCGGCAGCCGTGGCACTGGGAACCACAGGGACAGTCGATGCTGCTGCAGAGCATGTCCCATATAGGCTCCAGCAGTCCCTAAATGCAGGATGAGGACGGTGCTCCACATCCACAGGCCTCCTTGGGGCTCCTGCCACTTTGGGTGGGATCTTCTTCACTCCCGTTTCACGCAGCGGCGGGGCCTGCGGCGAGTTCGGGCGGTCTCAGCGCACACAGCGCCCAGGGGCCCGCGATGCCAATAAACAGACTGAGGATCAGGCGGCTCCGCGCTTCCCTGCCAGCCCGGGAGGGGGGACGTGGCCCTGCTGCGGGCAGGGGGAGCGTGGCCGGCTGCACCCAGCGGGATTGCCCTGGATCCCGGCACTTCCAGAGGAGGATGAATCCGGCGGCAGGTCCAGGAGCTCTCCTCCGCGGGCCGGCAGCCACAATCAGTGCCGGCCCGCACGGCCTTGACGTCTCCCCGACTCGCGCTGTGCCGCGGCTCCCGCTCCAGCCAAGGGCAGCCGCTGTCGGCCGCCCGGCGCTATCGGAGCCGGGGAGCCGCAGGGCGGCCAGACGCAGCTTCCACCTCTCCCTGCTGCAAGCGGCTCCCTGGCAGGGAGGTTCAGGTAGCGGGAAGGGGCCGGGAGCTGCGAGCTGGCGCCCCGGCCGCGTTTCACAATCTATCTTGTCCGGTTGTTTGCTCTGAGCGGTGTCGGTATTTGAGGCAAGTCAAACAGCGGCATCTCTCTGAGCTGAGATTAAAGCCGGTCGAGTGTGAGCCAAGGGCAGCGCACGGCGGAGCAGGAGCACCTTTTCCACATGGATTTTCCAGCTCTCTGCCTGTTCCTGGGACAGGCGCGATCTGAGTGTCCCCACATTCCCCTTGCCAAGGGGTGCGGGCAGCGGGACAGCTCCATCCCGCAGCATCAGGGGCTGGATGGGACCCAGTGCACGACAGACACGGGTCCCGTTTTCCAAGTGCGGCCGCTCCGTGGTCCCGCGGATCCTGCCCCGGCGGGTGACGTTAATCGCTGCTGACGGCGCTGTCGTGCTCAGCACCACGATGCCGTGACGGCGTCAGGTGAGGCTGGCAGCTCCGGGCGACACGAGGTCCAGCACGAGGCGGCTCCGCGTCCCCACGGCCACGTCCCGGGTGACAAGCACGGTGGGATGCTCGGGAATCCTCCCGCGGGGGGTGAGCTCTACCCGGCTGCGAACAGGGCGCTTGGCACCCGTCCTGCCTCGGTTTCCCTGGATGCAAAGCAGGGGAAGGGAGCAGCCCAACTAACTGGCTATGGAAATGGCAATAAGGCAAATGCAGGAGGCAGCGAGGCCTGGGAAAGGAAAACCGGGCGCCAGTGCGGCAGGAGGCTTGGGGGTGGATGTGGATGCGCGTGCAGGTCGGGATGGTGCCGGACCCGCTCGACCCTCCAACTCTGCCTCCCAGGGCAGCGGTGGCTCCCGCTGCTGCTCCTGCAGCCCCCGGGCACTCGCTGCAGCCGGAGCCGCCCGCACCCGGGCTCCTCCATCCGACACATCCCGAGGCCCTGGCTGGGATGTGGAGGCGCCAGCTCCCAGCTTGCAGTCCTTGCAGCGAGGCTGCAGCGCCAGGCACTCGGGGATGTGCAAGTGACGCCGCATTAGGCAGATGGAGATAATCTTGGCTCCCCACGCCTCTCCTCCCAGCGAGGTCTCTGCCTTAATCCCCTAGGGCATCCAGCAGCCCTGGACTCTCCCTTTCATTGGCGGCATGGGTGGCAGTGTCCCGGTGTCCCCAGCCCTGCACTGTGCCCACCACACACTCTAAGGGTCCCCAGGCCTGGGGGTCCTGGCCCAGGCTGCCGGGGGTCTGGGCACCCTGCTGGGCAGGCTGGCCGGGCACACGGGTGGGTTGCGGAGAGTGAGCGCAGGGCTGGGGGACCTGGTTGTCCCCACCGTGGTGGTGGCCGTGGCCCCCCACCATCCAGGCTGAACCCAGCCACATTAATCCCCTTAATTCATCAATTCATCGGAGGCAGCTCTGCCCCCTGAGCCCGGCACTGCCCCACGCGGGGACCCACAGACCCCCTGGTGCACATGGAGCCCCCAGTCCCCACTGTGGGCAAGGTGCTGTGAGTGTCCATCTGGGAAGGGACCGGGACCGGGACCCCGACCCGAGCCCATCCCGTTCGGATCGGATCGGATCGGATCGGATCGGATCCCATCCCATCCCATCCCATCCCATCCCATCCCATCCCACGGAGGGAGCCCTACGCGTTCCCCCCCCCCCCCCCCCCCCC